TCTTCCAAACAAGCCCCAATGGAGTAAATCAATGAGAAACACCCACTAAATTCAAGCAATGTTCAAACTTAGCAATAAGAAGTGGTTTCATCTTCATATCAGCAAGATTATCATTGGTATCAACATTACTCACTACAAAATCGCAACGAGCAATTACGTCACGCGCAAAATGATACCTCACATTAATGTGCTTAGTCCTCTCGTAAAACATCTTATTCTTAGATAAGGAAATTGTAATCTGACTATCATAGAATACTGTGGACATCTTCAAGTTTTCACTGATTTCACCAATCAATCCTCTCAGCCACATAGCCTACTTCTCTACACTCTAATGTTGTGTATGTCATCCATGGTGTCCTCAATTAGGTAAAATAGTTGTTAAAATTTCATACCTGGAGGAGTTTGAGTCGTAAAAGGAAATCAGCCCATCATCATCAATTTTGAACCGCGTGCGTGTGGTGCTCCCTAGGGCACACATATCCATAGGCCAAATTGGCCTCATAAAGCTTGGCTCACACACATGTGGTATGGTAAGTTTTGGCATTCTTTGCAATTTTGTCCTTGAACCTTTCATTGTGTGCATTGTGGTATTTTCATTCTTTTTCAACTATTTGCCTTTCTTTTATTGACTCATAGTACTCTCCAATTGCATTATGCAGTTCGAATCAACTTTTGAAGTTTATGCTTTAGTCCTGAACTTTGAATTTCGTCCATTTAGCCCATTTTTGCTCTTTTCGTCCATTTCCATCATTTTGCATCGAGCTTCTTCTAACAAATTAAATATATACTAAAATAAGACACAATTATTCAAAATTAATAACAATTAATCTAATTTAACAACCTAATTCAATGTACAAAATAAGCTTATTAAATACCTCCAAATTTGAACAATCGTTTGTCCTCAAACAAAACATAACTTAACTTAAACAAAAAATTAAAAATAAATTGGTTATATAACCTTTCTTTGGTTTCTGTATATGTCAAAACTATAAATTGTTTCAAAATCACATTGCAAAAATCAATCTCCACTTATCCAATGCAAAATCGACGTGTATGTGTGAAGATTCATGTAAAACATCATAAAGTCATAAATTGATTCATGTCGTGACCCTCAATGGTCAAATTTTTCCTTTCTTCACTCGTAAGATACACACCTCCAAACTTATTATTTTCACTTTTTTCCCAATGTTTGATCTAAAGACTGGAATTATATACTATTTCTCACTTTTTCTAGTTTGGTTAAACTTTACAATTGCTGCTCCACATATCAAAAAAGGGGATTCTCTTTATATTTGACCGCTTCAAACTTCAAGAATCAACTAGGCTAATAGATATCAAAAGCCTAATTGTCTCAAATAAATATTTGGGGTTTAATCAAGGCTTGTGGCATGACTTCTTTTCTTGGCCCCGCTTTTTCAAGTTTGTTGCACCTCTTCTGTTACATGTATTAGCACTATCCCTTTTGAGTTTCTTTATCGAACATAAGAGACGCATTTTATGGTGTCAATGGTGTATTACCACCACCAAACATAACCTCGACGTAGTTATTGGGATCCATTTATAGAAAAATAAATGGAAAAGTAGAAATTAAAAATAATAGATGAAGACTTGAACTTGAAGTGATCAAATATGAAATAAAAGATAAACTAATTTTGTAACTTGTGTTTGTACGAGGAATAATGATAATAAGGAATTGAGTTGAGAATTGAGAAATTTAGATTGTAGAATATAGATGATAGATTGTAGAGAATTGATGTGAAAATATGAATTAAAATGATGGCTATTTATAAATTTTAAACGAAAAATTTAAAGTCAATATGATAGTTAGGGCTCCAACTGTCATATTAAAACTTTAAAATGTGACCAAATGGTCATGTTTTGAAAAAAAAAAAAAGATCATTTGGTCACATTTTAAATGAAAACCCACGAATCAGGATCGTGAGCACTGCACAAGTCAATAGCTCAACAATTTTTTGGGCTTATTCCTAGACATGTCCATGGGTCGAGCCAGATGAGCTGAGCAGGCAAAACGATGAGCCGCTCGGTCCGATTGCCTCTCCTATCTCTTTGAAAAACACCAATTCAAAAAGACCACCTTAGTTTATTATTTTTCTTTTCTGTTAGTTATTTGTACAGGGCGCCTTTTAGTGTTCATGGATTAAACGAATAATTCATACTATTAAAAGTAATTAATAATGTGAAATAGTAAAAATAAAAGCAAGAAAAATACACGATTTAAGGTGATTTACCCTTGAGGCAAGAGTTATGTCCACATGGTGCCGATTCACGGTTGCACTATACGGGATAAGAGAATTACAATTTATGTTGAATCGACGTTCTATCTGTTTTTCTATACTATGACATATAGAATGGAGGCTCACACTAATACCTCTTGTATATAAAGAAATATTAAGACGACCTAATAAATGAGAATTTCCCAAAATACCCTATAACATTTAAAAAGTGCATGGTGCATTAAGAACTTGTTCTGTACAGATTTCTGTGAAAAATGATATTTTTGAAGTGTGATTAAAAAGTGAAAAAAAGGTAGTTGATTCCATTAAATGTGCAGTTGATTATGACTTTGGAGAAAAGAGATTTAAAAAAAAAAAACCAGTGCGACTGTCAGTCTATTATTTAATTCCATCTCTGATTATTTCACCTAATTCTGATCCATGTTGATAGAAAGCATAAAGGCAAAAATTTCCTAATTAAAACTGAAGCGTACAGGTAGTTGGATTCATTAAACTCCTCCTTCTTAAACAAATACATATGGGGAAACGTAGAAGTACAAAACAGAAGCCAGAGAGACAGTTTAAATGCGTGGTCAAAAACTCAAGGGTCTATAATATCTCTACATATCATCAATGTAGTCACATTTTTCATGGATTTACAATTACAAGCATTCCCATTCTGAAACCCTAAATTGTAACACAAACACCCAGACTGTATAACACTTGGAGGAGACAATAATGGTCCAAAGGTTTGGTCTTCAAATTGTTGTTTTTCTTGCTTCAATTTGATACCAGATTTTCCAAATGATTTGTGTAGACTAATGGAGAGTTCCAGGTTAATTTGTGGTTGTAATTCCTCAGACGATACACTGCTGCCATTTAACTCTTCTGCTGAATCATTTTCAACCTTAAAACTGATACAGTTTTTCATGACCTGATCTTCTGATGCATTGGTTGGGTGCAAGGAAAACGTTTGAGCTATATCTGAGAATTGTCTTAGATTGTTTTCTTGGTTGCTAATCGAGATTTCTGCGTCCGGCTTTGGTGTCTTTGTTGTTGAGTTGAGTGGTCTGTGTGTTTGAGGATCAATTCCGCGGTTGAGGAGTTTTCTTTTTATGTGTGTGTTCCAATAGTTCTTGATTTCATTATCTGTTCTCCCTGGCAATCGTGCAGCAATAAGAGACCATCTGAAAGGCATCAATAAAAGATCAACAATTTTTTTAGGGAGAAAAAAATTGAGTGAGTCAGAAGAATGTAGGTATTGATAGAACACAAAAGATTCTTCTTGGTAGATAAAAAGTGGATTCGTTAACTAAGATAACTGATGAAGAATAAAGGGCATGTGTGTGTGTGTGAGAGAGAGAGAAAGAGATACTTGTTTCCAAGTAAGCTATGGAGGTTGATGATGAATTCTTCTTCCTCTTGAGTGAAATTTCCTCGTTTAAGATCCGGCCGGAGATAGTTTATCCATCTAAGTCTGCAGCTTTTTCCACACCTAAGTAAACCTGCCCAAAGTAAACCAGAAAATTCAAAAACTTGTAAAATTCTTGCATACAAAAATTTATATAGAAGCCATAATCTCTCTCTCTCTCTCTCTCTCTCTCTCTCTCTCTCTCAGAGACAAACAAACCGACACATCCATAACCAAAAAGAGATTTAGATCAGATTCGAACCTGCAGCTTTAGGAAGGGATCTCCAACACCCCTCACCATGTCGTTTGATGTAGTTAACAAGGCGTTCGTCTTCTTCCTTTGTCCATGCCCCTTTGTTGGTGTGCTGTTTCTCACAGCAAGGAGATCGACCCATTAATGTTGTTCCTTCTCTCTCCCGAGTCAATAAAAGCTCGCGATACTGTGCAGGTGAGCTAACCTAAAAATTCTCTCACATACCCACACACTCACACAGATATGTAGAGAGAGAGAGAGAGGATTTCCAAAGGAAACTTTTAGGGACAAAAATGTGGCGAGGAGGGCAAGCCAATTTAAATAGGCAGGTTTGGAGAGGCAAAAGGAAATGGACTCATACCCTCACCTTAAAGTTGCAGGGAATTTTACAAATTAAAGTTGAAGAAAAACACGAGTGGTTGGAAATGAAAACTAAGTCAGTGCTGAATTTGGTAGGTAGCACTGCTTTTTCTATGTAGTTGGAGTTATTCACTCCTCGTATCCCATGTTTCAGTGTTTTAATTATTTCCTATCAGCATCTGATGCGGATGCACCTATTTTTTCTTGTCTCTCTCTTCCTCCACCCCCATTATTTTTTGAGTAATGCTATTCATTCAGAGTTGAGATCCAGCACTGCAAAGAAGCGCGCAAGCAACTTTGATTCGCTTTACATCGGATAGGCTATTTCAATTATGCCGCGATTAAGTATCAATTTAAGTGACAATTACTTGATATTAAGGATCCGTTAAATTGCAAGAATGAAATTTGGGTAGAAATGAAATGAATTCTATGAAATTGAATTATCTAAAACTTGTTTTACTGACAATTGTCAATTAATTGTGTTTTATTAGTATAATTTTTTACCTGAAAATTATTGAAATTTTGGATCTTTTGGTGTTCGTTTGGTTTTATTTTTTATGAAAACTGTCCTTTAAAGAAATATAATTTGTTACAATTGCAAAAAAAAAAAAAANTGGGGGCCAAACAGGGGCTTTGTTTAAAAATGTGACAAATTGTCGATTGTTTCTATTTATTTGAGTTTTATTTCGTTTTCCGCTTATTTTATTTAGTAACTCAATTTCATCTTGAAAATCAAATTTTACTAAACTTTTTGATTCAAAATTCTCTCGACTCATCCCCTCGTGAGGAATTGCCAAACCATTTGATCGTTCACCCATTCGAATATAAATGATTAGTCAACAAATGATAGATAGTAAATAAGTCCGTTTGAAAATAAATGAATTGCTATTCATAGAATATTATTCTTGTCAGACTTAAACCTAAATTCAAATAAAATTTTCACTTGAAAAATATTGAAATTTTGGATCTTTTGGTGTTCATTTGACTTTATTTTTCATGAAAATTATCCATTAAATAAATATAATTTGTTACAATTGAAGACATAATTTTTTTCCATTGCCAAAAAAAAAAAAAAAGGGCTGCCTAGAAAACTAATTCCCACCAAAGTGGTGGGAATTGATTTACCTCAAAAAGTAAGAAAATATGACAAACCAAGAAAATGTAGAAAACCAATTACCTGAAAAATATTTCCTATTAAACACTCTAAAAAGTGAAAAATGGCAAAAAGTTTTCCATCTTCCATGGAAAACTTGCCCTATTAAATAGGGCCTAAATGATTGATTCATCTAAATGTAAAGTCTCATAACTCATTTCATTAAATTATAAAATGTAGTCATCTACACTGTTGCTCTAGCACCACTGGCACCAATGGTGTTGGATAACATTATTCTTATTTTTTATTACCTCGAATTTTATTTCAATGTGTAATTAATTATGTTTTGCCTTTCTAGCTACTTTTTACCTCTAAAATTTTGTCTTGATTAGTTATAATAATTGTTGCAAATAAGGGCGCATTATGGCACAAAATTTTAGTTTATTGATCAGTCCATTCAAATACCCTTTTGTGTATATATCATTAAATTACATATAGGATTATAAAAAAATATAAAAATCTTTTCCTTATTTTTATTTTTGCGGGTTTGGAGTTTGATGTGTAGGAGATATTACACCGATA